TGACGATGTCACAATTTTTTTCAGGTCAATGTTAAATTTTAATTGAATCGAACTGTTAGACAATGTTATATTACCCTTCATTTCTCTCCCACCTAAATCCGATCTTTGTTTCGTGGGATCATAGATCCAAATACTATCACAATCAAACTTTCGTCGGTTCAAAGAGCGATTCTGCTTTGATTCTGCTTTATTAAAAAATTTGCCTAATAAGCACATGCTAACTCGGAGCTGGAAGATAACTCTGGTAGTTACGTAATATATCTTTTGTTACAATAACTACTGGTGAAAAGTTCAAATTACTTCCTCTAGTGCTGAAACGGAACAAGTGATATGATAAGAACTTGTGTCAGCAACCGCAATTTAAGTCTTAAAGAAAAATTAAACATCGGAAATGGAATACTCCACGGACGACAGTAAGTGCCACTCCCCGAGAATGATTTCGTTTCGCTTTCATAATCCTTTTTAATTATTTTTACAGATGACAGTTTTTTTATCCTCTTTTCCAAAGAAATGCCAAAATTTTCTCTTATCTTCTCGAAATGGAAAGGAACACCGTTTTTTCAGATAAAGGTGTTAAGTAAACATATACAATGATCAATGGTCATAATGATATTTATTCATCGTACAGCAAAGCCTCGATTTTCGTGGAATCCGTCCGAACAACTTCCGCGAAACTGCCATGTTGCATAATCACTTTGGGATTAAAAATATTTTACCGCAATCGCACAATCAAGGTAACGCGTTGACAGGAGCATTTACTTAAAGAATTTTCCATGTAACAAATATTTAAATACCTCAATACACCCCACTGTTACAAAATCAACAGGCTTAACACGGTCGCTTACTCGGCTGACAGGAAATACTTCTTGGAGAGTCACGACCTGGAAGTTATTCCCTTGATGGACCCTGACATCAGGATGCATATTCTCCATTCTGTTCTCCATATTTCCTAGCAAACTTACGAGGAGAATTTGTTTAACGATCAAGACCTTCTTGCGTTAGTGATCATTTCTTTCCATGCTGTTTTTTATACATTTCCTGAGATGCTGCGAAGCAGAATTTATTTAAGAATAAACGCTTCTTCAGTCAGAGATCATTTGCTTTATTCTCGTGGTGTGATTCAGGGATGATATGGTAGGGAGAATTTAAATTCTAGTCGCTCTAAGGGTGTACAGGATTAATTGATTGATAAAATAGTTAAAACAGAATTAAATCACGTCGACTGTATGAAGTCTCAGTTCACTCGCATTGAGAGTTATAAACAGCCACGCTGGGTTCTAAGGAATGGATTTTTGAATTTTAGACAAAACAACTGTGAAATCAACATCACGCCACGTGCCACGTGTCGAAAAGCCAAAAAAAACCATTACAAATCTCAAATTGATTGGGTATTAATTTTGACCCATGTAGCCGCTCGTGATTGTTTTTTTTTTTTTATTTCCGCGTGCTGCCAGCGTGGTGACACGTGACCATCTAGCATAAAAGATGACAGTGCCGCCTTGGCACTTCACTTCTGAGGTCAAATCCGCTTTTAGGAACAAGGTCGGAGATATTCTTTCACAGAAAGGTAAGCCATTTCTGCGAAAACTTGTTGCTTAGGTGAAAATGTTACCCTTAGGAAAACAGGACGACTGTAAATTTTATTCAGAGGTGTTATCTTTAACCGAGTAAACATCAGCTCACGCATGTCCTCTTCTATCGAAGTAGCTGCTAAATGAGGCAATTTTCATATGATCCTCACCAGTGAAATCACGAAAATTTTATAGAATCAAGAAGCACATTTTTTTTTAATTTTAAACGATTAATAACCAGATGCAGTCAGGGTTTTAGTTTAGCAGTAGCGTAAGGGGGATTTGTCTCTCCTTTCCTGAATCGTGATATCATTCGCCTTCAAACAGAGGGAAATGATGGTTTAAGAAGTTTTCTTGTGAGTTGTGGTACGTTCAAGTAGCGAGGTGCTTATAACCAAGAGCAATCGATAAATGAAATGGAGAAAGTTTATACCGATTGTAAACGATGAACCGGAAAAATCAAGGCTTGTTGTGTCAAAAAGGATATTCAAACCGTGGCTTGGCTTTCATCGAGATGAAACGAGCTGTAACGCCATTCTCACCTTGGTTTAATTCTTGAATGGTTTTAAAAGTATTATCAAAACTAAGTGGAAATCAATTAAGAAACCAACAGAAGGATCTGTATACAATGCATTGTGCAAATAGCCCTCTGTCTTCAAATGAAATGCTTGTAGCATTCGCGTTCGACCAACCCAATGCATACTAAACCAGGATGGCAAACAGAAAATTATTTTGACAATACTGGAATAGGATACAACTGAAACGTGGTCGGACGAGAGGTCAGAAACTCCAAAATAAACTGCAAAGATTGAGTTAATCTTTCAAGCTAAAATAATCTCTAGACAATCAGATGATGGTCAGTTTTATGAAGATATATCGCATTGAGGTATGTGCCATGCGATTTGCGCACTTCAAATGGTATGTGTAGACCCTGAATGACGTCGCTGGTAAAGATTACGTAATCAAGTCCACCGAGTCACACAATGCAAAGTCTTGAACAGTCTTTTCCTCAAAAACAAAAAAGGATAAAAAATTTAACAGAATAACGTGTGCTCAAGACACAGTTGACAAAAATTTATTACATGCTTCGAAACATATGGCACCAGCAAATTGTCAAATCGTGTATGTATTTAACTCCACAGTGAAGGTCATTTTAAATGACAGACGTGCTTGAGGCTAAATACTAAATTCGATCAAGAACAATCGTGTTTGAATAATAGGGGCAAAGACAATCTTTCTGCGGGTCAATGCCTATGTTAAACATCCAAACAATGCGGTTAACGAGCTATGTTAGTTTCGGAACGCCCAATTTATCTTGAAGTAAACTATTTAGGGCTTGATATGGCTCTCAAACTCAGTGAATTGTTGGAATTTTTTTTTTATTCTGAGCGATTTTAATCCGCCTTGTCCATGATCGTTATGAGGAATTGTGGCACGATTCAGTTCCACTTCCGCCATGCCAAGTAAGCGTGTTTTAATCGCGAGACTGTCTGTTTAAGAAAACCTTGAGACTGCCCGATCTACTGTCAGAAACGCCTTGGGCTGTGACGTTCCTATTGAAAAAGGGTTTAAAGCATCCTTAAATGGATCAAGGAGATTATGATCTGAATGTCGTGCAGTCATGTCTGACATAGAAGCATACCGGCAAAGTGAATTTATCCACCAAATGAGCTTTATTGAGGACTTCTTCCTCTTTTTATCAATTAACCTTATATAGGCGTTGTTTATTTCTAAGACAGACTTTGTTGAAGACCACTTGAGAATTTAAAGCTGAGATCTCGTGGTCAGAGATGTGTTGAGCCAACTAAGTTCATATTTCTGCACGTCCCTGGAATCTTAAAAATCATAAATGTCACAAGTATGGTTTTTGTCACTTTGAAAAAAGCTTGTTTGTGAAAGACAGCTCTCAGCAAAAGGGAACATGTAAAGAACAAACTTTTTTAACGCAGATTCGATGCTCTGGTAATTCTCTGGCAAACTTTTAAATAATAAAGATTGACAGAATTCACGTACTTCCAACTGAGACTGTAGCAAGCATTTAGAAAACAAGATAGCTTTACGTGTCTAGACCTGAGTTAGTGCTGAGTTGACCAGACGTTACATAAAATGGAAGATCAGCGTAAAACTGATTTACACGAATAACAATGTAGCCTGGCAGACGATCGTGGTGAAATATACGGAAATGAACTGAAATTTAGGATCTACAGAGGTTGATCATTCCTCAGACCCAGAGGAATGAATTGAAGAAATTGTTTTTCCGTAAAGCAGTCTTTGCTGGACGAGGAGAAAGAGAGCCGTTCTTTGTAACTATGTATAGAAGAGGAACTACTCTAAAGTTAGAGACGGCCATTGATTCACTTACCCTCCACAAATGTCTGTCGTGCAATAATGCGCAGACTTTTTCCATTACTTACCATGGGGAATACGTACAAAGTAATATTTCATGTTGAAAACAAAGTAAAGTACAATGATAACTACATAAATGGCTTTTTCCCATATCTTTAACCCTTTAAGCCAGAAGATCAATATGCATATTCTCCATACTGTTCTAAATACTTTTCCAATGATACTGACATCGAGAATTTCGTCAACAATTAACAGTTTCTTTGGTGGGTGGTCACTTCCCTTATTTCCATGACCTTAATGTTTGATTCAACGTGAAAACTGTGAGGGGAATAAGCATGAATTTACTTTGCGTTGCATTCGATTCTTTTATCGAGCTGTTTAGTTAGAAAAATGAGCAAAGATGATAAATGTGTAGTCGCGTTATTCGTCACGCAATCTTTACAGTGTGACACATGGTAATTCGTGTTCACATGCTAATTTCAGTACTTTGACGCTAGAGTATCGTTACAACGAAACCGATTTTTATTTGCTTGTTTCTACCAAAACCGCTGTATTTTTTACACCTAATTGAGTCTGGCAGAAAGGTAGGTTTGTTTCGTTATGAAAATAACTTCAGCAACACTCTTATAAACTATTCTTTATCCTTTTTAGACATCAAAGTTTCGATTGAAGGTAACGGTTTATGCACTAGTGTGTATTAGAGACCTACAGACTCGCATAATTCCTTGTTATATTCGTCTTCGCATCCATCTCACGTTAAGAATTCCATTCCTTTTTCTCAGTTTCTGAGACTTCGTCGTTTATGCAGTGATGACTCTGATTTCCACCACAAATCAGAGTCAACTGTTTCTGTCGTTCAAGCGGGTTACCACCGCGCCCAACTTATTGATCGACATTCAGCACTACAAACGTCGAATAAGGAAGATTCCGACCGCATTCCATTCACTCTCACGTTTCACCCTCACAACCACTCAGTTAAATCCATCATTCTTAAAAAATTTAAATTACTCCAAAACGATCCAGAGACAAGTACTATCTTTTCGCAGCCTCCGCTCATTTCATTCAAACGCGACAAAAACATAGGCAATTTTTTGGTCAGAAGTTCTTTTCAGACTAATGACCAACCAGGCAC